GGTGAACTTAACCAAGCAGAAGGACCTCAAATGCAAATAAGTACCAGCCACAACATTTGCATCTGCCTATGTAATGAAAACTATTAAGCGACATTAGTTGATATATTTCACCAAAGTAGGCCTAGCTATCTATATTATGAACTGTAACTAAGTGTATTAAAATTGAAATTACCTTTGTCCCTGTTGGGTCCATGGGATCATGCTGATTTGGCTCTTACTTTACGTCTGTTTTCGGACGTTCCTGTTTTATTGATCTGCTGCTGTGATTTTTATGGTTGTCACTGAATCATCGCCGCCTCGTTTGATTCACTTATTTGAGGGTAGCTTCAGATGAGAGGAATGGGACATCATAGGAGCAGCCATCGGCCTGAGAAAAATAACGCCAGCTGCAGAGAAACCTAATTGATTGTCTGGCGAAATGTTTCGTATTTTCAATTACTGTGCGAAACCACCCGTCAGTCATCTAAATTATCTGAACCATAATGTAATTAAGGTCCGTTAACTGGTTTGTCTGTAAATTATTTATATCTAGCCATTTGTGCTTCTGAAGATGATTATTCGGCTGAAACGTGATCCTGTGTTTCCCTATTGTTTTTCAAGGTTATGACACTCGGCCGAATCTAATACGTTGTGACAAGTGACTGTACATTTGGCCAGAGCGGTTTCTGAAAGTGTGATCGCTCCTGGCAAACTTTAAAAAGAGAAAACGTTTGGCAGTGTACCTTGCTCTGCTAATCTCCTTAGCAAAAGTTGGTCGCATTTCTCCTGACAGGCATGCATCCACCCCAATTGACGCCATTCACGGGGAGCGGGGGCGTAATCTAACCACCCGGCGCCTGCATTTGATCTCCGTCCTGCTTCTTGGGTTCAATGAGACGCTTCATTAGTTTTAATACGCGAAGCGTGCCAAAAGTGTCAAGCCTAACCAGGCGACCTTTCTTGGTCCAGGAGCGCACTGCGCTCGCTTTACCGCGAGTACATTATTGTTAAGATGACGGGGTGTCGAGGATGAGTTTTGGGGGGCTGCGGGTAGTACATTTAATTTAATGAAAACGGCGACCCCACTGGTTTCTGAGCACCGGTTAATTGGATTATGTTGGGCGCTGCGGATATGACCTGCCAATTACTCTCCATGCGCCCGTTAGTGGGTGTAACGCTTTCCAGACTGTGAAGGCCAATACGACTAATCCACGACCTCCCATTGATAATATTTAACATTATATATATATAGCATATGGAATTTATAATAATATACTAGGCTATTATCCAAAGACACGTCCTATAAAATATTCCTCATTCGCGAAATGTTCTTTTCCCACCCGAAATCTTCGTTTTCGTAACGGTCAATCTATACAATTTTTTTTCGTTTATGTTATGCAGACAGACAAGTAGCGTAAAATGGGCTGTGTGAAGACAATGAGAATTAAGCGAAACGACGTGTAAGACTCGTCCAAAATTAACAAACTCTCACTGATTACTTTCGCATGATAATTAACTATGTACACTTTTTAAATGTCTTCTTAAATCTACTGATATTGTGCGTTTTCACAGCGCATAAAATACGCACTAATTAAATAATCCAAGAAGTTCCACTCGGCAAATGTGCCTACAAAAATAGAGAAGCTGTTCTTTGTGCAGTCAGGGTTTCCCTGTTGTCTTAGTTGTAATAAAGCCTACGCCCCCCTCGGTGCCATCTTCTGGCTTCTGGGTTCTTCCACGCACCGTTGGCTGAAATGCAAACGTACAGAGCGAACGGGTGGCCAGCGTCCAGTCAGGGAAACCACATGTGCTCAGTGATCACTGAGATGGACATAATCCACTTTTGATGAACTCAGTTAATAGACTTCCCGCTGTCGTTATCAAACGGATTTGCTTCCATTCGTCTCCAGCACACGACCCACACCACGCCCCCTCGCATTCTTACACGCTTGGCGTTTGTCAATAAAATGCCCCCCTTTCGCCCATGAAACTTTAAAGTCTCCGAAAACTTGAAAGCGCGCGGAGTTTGCGGGTCACCTTAAGAAGATGCCACGCCGCAGAAGTCCCACAACGCCGTGCATTGTCCGGGAGACAGTTAGTGCCTATAATAAAAACGGGCAAAACCCCCATCGTTTAGACCTCCAGGACGAGTCCACGGTCCAGGCTCTTGTGCAGTCCAGGTGGATGGATGCGAGAGCGCAGTGTGATCCGTGTATAGTGGAGCTCCGGCTTCCTGGTATAAGTGGCTACATCGACCACGATCCGGGCGCCATAGACAGGGCTCAGAGGCGGCGTCGCTTGGCCGCCAATGCCAGGGAGAGGAGGAGGATGCTTGGGCTTAACGTGGCGTTCGACCGATTGAGGAGCGTCATCCCGACCCTGGAGAGCGAGAAGAAGCTGTCCAAGTCAGAGACGCTGCAAATGGCGCAAATCTACATCTCCACCCTCAGCGAGCTCTTACAGGACAGGGGCTGCGGCCCAGACATCAACCAGCAGAGAGCCAGAAAAAGTGCATTTTCCGAAGACCTGCGTGGGAAACACCCGGGAAAGGACGTGAATGTGGAGGCGCCGGAAACGTTTAATAGCGGCAAGACTGGCAGCGTGACGGACAGTACAGAACAGCCGAGCGGCGATCTCCTGAAAACGGAGTTAAAAGACTTAATAAGCCTCTGGGAAAGACCCAGCGGCACCAAGTGAGAAAAGCCACGCCGGTATTTCACTTTTGTAAGCAGTCTTTGTATATACATATATATACACACACGTGTTTGAAATTCTTGAGATTTTTAAAATTGCCATTTTTATATAACATAGTGAATCAAATGTAGTGATTGACAATGTATTTAATAAAAAGATACTGCGGTCCACTACTGCATTTACTGTTGTTTTTGGGGAACTTTGTGCGGAGACGAGCCTTTCAGGTCAAAAGCAACACACCAGGAAAAAAGACGGAAAACTCGGCGTGTATTGAAAGTAGCAATTTTATTGGAGTTAAAATTTATGTACAGGTAATCAAAGACATAATTTTTGAAATTGGTACAAAGTTCTTCCTGCAGTTGGCTTTGTATACTTTTTTATTGTACTTCAAATGACACAACTGAGAAACTGTATAAAATAAAAATAGGATTGAATTCAGAAAAGTAGTCTACGATTACAACTTTCAATTGCCGGTATTTACAGAACTATTTACATTTTGCTTTTTCCCATTCATTTTCAGATTCGTAGATTAATCTCTCGTAAACGTCAGTGTCTACCTCGGTTTTACAAATACGAGCGAATCAGCTGCTCCTGTGAAGGGGGCTTGAATCGGCCCAGAGTCTGCTAGGAATACAAGCGGCAGGACATTTGACTGGTTCCTTACGAAATATATCTGCTAAAACTCAAAGCCGAACAGGGCCTCAACAGGGAAGCAACACCACAAGGTTTAAATATACAAAAGGAGTTGTTAAATTAAATTAACAAAGGTTCTAATTCTGGATGGGCACGGGCGACCCCCTCCCCCCCCCACCCACCCCAAATCCCCAAGACACAGCAAACCCCTGTCCTTATTACGTTAACCTCCAGTGGGTCTTGCGATTAAACTCAGGAATAAATCAGCTTACTGCGCATGTGCGGATGGAACCTACACTAAAACGGCGGCAAACTAAATGCATATCAGGGTGTAATACATCACAGCTCCCTGCAGAACCCTCGAACAGAGCCTACATTTCACTAATATATTAAAACAAAAACATTTAAAACAGATACTATCCCACCCCCCCCCAAAAAAAAGAAAAGAAAGTAAAATTCAAACAGAGAAGACTGGGTGAGAGGTGACAAAAGTTAAATTCAAGTGCTTCAATGAATGGTTTTCCAGTCCTGCTGACGGTTTTGTTTCTGACATTCTGTTTTGCAGTCAGAGTAAAAGCATACGGACAACACTTTTAAAAGCATGTTCTGTGGGTGAGCAGTGAGTGGGGGGGCGGGGTAACACAGGGCTGGATAGACTCGATGTTCCCGCCATGCAGGATCCAGGTCCTTTGCCAAGCTACGCATCTCATGCTGTGAACTTGCCCATTTTCACTCTACTATTGGAAGGAAAAAAAAACCCCATACAAGGACCTATAAGCTCCCGACTGTAGAGCATCTTTAACTAACACTGGCTTTGCACCTTAAGATAGGTGGTGATGGAAACAATGGGAGATACTCGCGCACACGGACGCCAGCTACGGAAGAGGCCGCGCGCTGCCAGGGCGCACATCTGCGGGGCGGCCAGGTCTTTGCCGGACCGTGAACATCTGCTCTGGAACCGTCCGGGGCTACGAGATAAACCCGGCAAACATACCCAGAGTGATTTCTCTCTGAGTGAGCGAGTGAACGCGGAGCCCCGACGAGATCGAGGAGATGTGAGGGCTCACCCACGCGTGCAGCTGCGCTTGCAGGAGAGAACCATGAGCAGGGCAGGCAGCTATGGGCCAGTTCCAGCCAAGGAACTCTGGGCACGCTCTCCCGGCGGCAGACGCTGCACGCGACTCTGCAAATTAGCCCGGACACGGGTCACGCGGCCACTTGGACAGGATGGGCTGACGGGGGAGGGGGGCGGAAAGCCCTGCCCCTTCCGTTCTCACTGGCGCCACTCGCGGCTGCACGAGGTCGACCCAGATGAGCGCGTGCCGCAGTGGGGGCTCTTTGAGGCCACGGATGAAAAAGAGGAGGTTCATCAGTGACGCTGGAGACAGTGGAGAACACCTCCCTCCGTCCTGGACGACTCGCATTAACGGACCTGACGACTATCGATAAGCTACGTGTAGAACGGCCACTGGAAATGGTTAAAAAAAATTTTTTTATATATAGCATACCACTCAAAACATGTTTTCTCAACCAGTATGACTGACACCTGGGGGACGGGAGGTGAAATTAAAGAAAAGGTAAGTTGAACATTGTTATTGGCCTCACACTCTAGTGGTGGGGGGACTGGCAGCTGCAATTCTGTTGCCAGCGATGCTGCTGCTGCTTCTGTGACAGGTGGCCTCTCCGTTCCACCCCACCCCCCACGCGGCGTCCTCTTCCCAGCCAGACGGCCCCAGCTTCCTCCGGCGCCGAGCCCAGCCGCTAACAGTGCTCCAGATAGTCGATGACCCGGGAGATGGACTTCTGTCCTGTGGTGCCAACGTCACACTGCGAACAAGAAGAGCGAAGAGGGGGTTTGTTACCACAGTAACATTCTACACACGTCGGGGGGGGAGGGGGGGGCTGCAGTTAACAGACAGCAAGATGAATACCACACATGTCCCAGCACACTTACAGGACAGAGGGAAAGTCAGAGGTGGGGTTGCTGTGTAGAATCGGGGAACGGGCTTCCCCAGACGGACACGGCCGGCACCACTCACCGTAAGGTTCATGAAATTCAAGAACTTCTTGAGCATTTCTGTCATGATGGAGAAATCCCCCTTGGGTAGGTTCTCTCGCACAGTAGTCACATTCATCTGCAAAAGGACAGCAAAGCAGGCCTCAGTCAGTATCCTTCTGCTGACCCTTTGATGTCATTGTCACATCCGGCCCTGAATCCACACCAGGCATTCTGTACGCAAACAGTAAGCTTCCCAGCTGCTCCTGGCTTGATGACTGCCTGTCCATGACCTTCACGTGGATGGCAAAAGGCCACCGACAGCAAGATTTACCCCCGTTCATCAATAGGACGGTAAATGACCAAAGACATCAGTCATAAAACGCCATCCCCCTTAGAAGACCGTTGTTTTTAATGAAAATCTGTTGGACTAATAATGTGTAAAAGGAGCCTCATTACACTACACAGGATATCGCAGGATTTTAAATGACTGTGACAGTCTGCTTCAAAATTTGTAATTTTCTACAAAAGGCCTCCTGAAGGCCAATAAAGTGAACGAAGGAAGGTCTCATCTGTCAGGGCCAAAGAGGAACACGGGCGTGACGAGCACAATGACGAACGACCCGGGGTCTGGGGGCTGGGGGGGCCGTCACTGCTAGCACACCGAAGCACGCGATGCAATTCCGAATTCTTCCTTAACAGGCCCAAGACATAGCCGGAGGCCAGGCACCATCCCATACGAGTATACGCTCTGTGAAACAGCTCCACATTTGATTCTCTAAGTTTACTTTGTGTCGTCTTGGCACGATCGTGGTAAAAATAAAGACGGGGAAGCGGCCCCGCACATGTGGACGGGGATTTACGGGACCCCGCAGATGTGGACGGGGACTTACGGGACCCCGCAGATGTGGACGGGGACTTACGGGACCCCGCAGATGTGGACGGGGACTTACGGGACTCCCTTGGCAGAGGCAGCCCAGTAACAGTGCGGTGTAGGAGGCCACAATGCTGTCCTCCATGTGCTTCCCAGCATGCTGCAGAGCTGTGGGCGAAACGGGACATCAGCGAGAGCTCGTACCGACCAAACCGAACGGCGAGTCTCCACGGGAGGCGTCACCTTTGTTGAGGTCCAGCTCCTCCTCCTCCTCCTCCTTCTTGTCGGTCTTGCCGACGTCGTCGTCGTTCTCGGACGCCACCCACTGGATCTCGCCGGACGTCTCCTGCCACTCGCCGCTCTGATCCAGCTGCGGTTTGGGCGCGTCGTTGATGAAGTCGTCGGTCTCGGCCTCCGCCAGCACCGCCGCCCGCTCCCTCTGGAGGAACAGCTGCGAGGGCACAGCGGGACCCCTCAGGCACCAAGTCGCGGATATCCCAAGGGGGCAGCCAGCAGGAGCCCCTCTAGCAGCCGAGTGAGTAGACTGTGTGTGCATCACGGCGGTATCCTTACCTGCACCAGGACAGCGATGGCGCTCGAGGATCCCACAGCCCGGAGCTCCTCACCTTCGGCCAGACACACCGAGTCGAAGGGCGCACTGGACTCCAACTCCATCTCCACTAGACAGTGACGGTTCCTGGCGCTGTACTCCACCAGGTTGATGAGCAGCCCCAGGCCCTGTGCACACGGACAGCCTCGGTCACATGACCGCACCCCCTGTGCGTCTCCGATCCACTCCCTGACGTTAACGTTCGGTCGGTGTGGTGAACAGAATTCACTGGGAAGCGGGCAGGTGGACTGAGGGGCCAATTTGCATGGATGAATCCCAAGCCGGCTGCATAACGCTCCGGTGACAGAAGGCTGGTCTCTGCAAAGAGCCCGACTGACTCACGGGCCCAGGAAGGGGGGAGTCAGTGACATAGCAAGAAAAGGGAAGAATGGATGCGGTATTTTTAAAAACGCCCTGGTACATTAGTACACATCACGCGCTTTAAAAGGGAGCCGTCTGGGGCGAGATCTGCATGTGTCACACAGCCGGCTAATCTGCAGCGGCCACAACGCGCTGCATCAATGGGACATATTCAAACTTAGCCCCCGGCCCCCCAACATGAGACGGCCCGCAGTTATGGGGGTGACGACGGCAGCATACCAGCACGCGGATGTCGAAGCGCTGCTCCTGAGGTAGGTACTGTGGGACCTTCAGCACGCAGTTCAGCGCCGTCACGATAAGAGCCTCCTGCTCACCGGTCTTTGTGCTCCCCCACTCTGAGGAGAGAGAATGAGGCACGGAGGTGAGAAAGGGGAGGGTAAAGGACAGACAGGGGAAGGAGGGAGAGGAGGTGAAAAGAATAGGAGGAGGGTGAGAGGTAGAAAGGAGAGAGAAAAGGGGAGGGGGAAAGAGGAAGAGGAGGAAGGGGAGAGAAGGGAAAAAGAGGGGTGGGAGGGAGGAGATGGAAGAGGAGGAAGGACAAAGGGGAAAGAGGAGGAGGAGGGAGCAAGGAGAAAAGGGGTAAGAAGGAGGAGCAGTGAGAGGATAAGAGGAGGGGAGGAGGATGGAGGAGAAGGGAAAGAGAAAAGAACAGAGGGAAGGAAGAGAATAAGGGAGAGAGAGGGAGGAAAAGGGCGGGTAAAAAAAGAGTGGGGGGGGGAATCAAGCAGCACCATTTATAGAGCGCGGTGTGATTTCAAAGTTAATCTCTGCACCTTTAAGATGGGCCTCCTCCTCGCACTGAGCGCCTTTAAGATAGGCCTCCTCGTCACACTGAGCGCCTTTAAGATGGGCCTCCTCCTCGCACTGAGCGCCTTTAAGATAGGCCTCCTCGTCACACTGAGCGCGCTCAGTCAGGTTTCACGTGGGTGGCCTCAGCCTCACTCACCATTGTCGTGGGTCAGGTTGAGCAGCACCCCGATGATGGCCCGCATGCAGTCCTCCACAGCCTTGCCCACGTTGCTGCCACGGTCGCCACTCACCTCCCGGCTGTAGCGCTGGATCATTGCCTCGCAGTGCCGCAGGCCCCTGGGGGGGGAGGCGAGGACCACAGCACCTCAGAGCAAGGATCAAGCCTGGCCAGCGGGGGCCGCGGTACCAGAGCCTATCTGGGATTTATTATTAATTTATTTATTTTAAGTTGGGAGCATAACAGGGGCCTTAATTCATGCAGAGGGGGCAGCCTTATTAGCCAATGATATGTTATGAATTGGTCAGTGACAACGGATGGGGCACCCTGGGGATCAATCAGCTTTTCAGATACCCTTGTGGTCCCGCACTTGACCAACATTAACAGACACAGAGAGGGACAGGGTGCAGCCCAGAAGGCTGTACAGGGATCAGTCACCAGTGTGGCACTGACGGGACGTGGAGACAGGAAGCCTGGTGCGTGGTGAGCGATGGTACCGGCACGTAGTGGGAGCGCGGCCCAGTGCAGATGATAATGCAATTACACTAACAGGAAGCCATTATTTACTGAAACAGATGGGGGCCGTTCATTATTGTGGGGGGAGGAGCCTTAAGGAGGGGCCAATTTTGGGGCTCTGTGTCCCTCTACGGCCCCATAATGAAATTACAGTGCCGGGTGGATGGGGGGGCAGCAGGCTGTGCTGTCCCCCCCCCACCACCCCCAGTCGCCTAAGCCTCCCGTCGGTCCCCCCGACCCAGAGAAATCCGGGTTGTGGCCTCAGCAAGGATGCACTAACTCAATTAAGAGCGGAAAAATCCTTGACAGACCCCACGTAGTGGCGATAGTGCACATGCAGCCGAAACGAGTCAAATTCACACAGAAGCACGTACAGGAGTGCATCCTTCTGGAAAATTCTGGCACTTTTATAATAATTACACCTGGAGCACTATGGTTTATGGTTTAGACATGACGTGTTCGGTCCCCCACGTAAAGCATTTCGCCAGGCATTAAAAATGTCACAGAGCCCCTGCTCCAGAGAGTCACCTGTCGGGGTGACTGACAGACTCTCGGGGGCGGAGTTTGGACAGGAATGGGAAGAGCGATCAATCCCCCACACAGCCTGCAGGGGGCGGCGGCCCGACATTTCCTGCAACTTGATTTCCCGAACTTACTTGGCAGACGAGATGATGAGCTGTGACTCCTTGTAGGCGATTAGGTAGCCCTGGTTCTCCGGATTGTGAACCGTCACCTGAGACGAGGAAATGAGGGGAGTGAGACTTCAAAATGGCGGAAAGCAGGCGTCGCTCCTGCCACGGCCGAGGGGCGGCGAAGCAGAGGAGGGTCGATGGTCGGGGAGGACAGGATGCTCATTATGGCACTTGCCCGCCCCAAAGATCCAAGCCACACCACCCACACGCAAACACAATAACGTAGATTAATAAAACGCAGAAGGCTTACACTCTCCAGGACTCGCAGACACCGCTCTGCTCCCCACAGCGAGGCAACCAGGTTCTCCTTGTCGTCTTCCTGACCCAGGTCATCCACACACTCCCTCACTGCGGGAGAGAGACGGATCCGTCTCAGAACACGGACCCAGAATGCAGAACCTGCAAAACTACCCACGAAGGCCCTCCCTAGGCCTGACAGGACTCATGGAACCCCCCCCCCCGCCTCTTACCTTTATCCACAATGTGGTCCAACCCCCCCAGTAGTCGGAGCTCCTCTTTGAACCAGTCGCCTGCCCGCTTCGAGGTCAGAGACAGCAGTGTCTCCATGGCTAAATGTCCCGTCTGGGGGGGGGAAAATGGAGTCACTCTCAGCCAAATTCATCAATTTGCAATGCAATGAGCGTTTAATGGACTGTGACGCACTCCAGCAGCCACTCACACCTCTCATTCGGTAAACCGGGGGGGGGGGGGGACACACATTTTTAAAGTGGTACATTTGCAAAATTTTTATGCGACCCATCTTCAGTAACAGCTTGTCCAAAGTCTGTGTCAGCGTCAATCTCACGTGCATCTCAGGCAGGGTGATTCTAGGATTTTTAAAATTCATACAAGAGGGGCCCCACCTATCATTAACCAATGATAGGTTTAGAATCAGTGAGTGATAGGGTAGGGGACCAATCAGCTTTCAGCTGAGGTCAATGCTCCTGCAGGCCCCGCCCCTGATCTGAAGGGGACGTCTTTAGAATGAACATCTCAACAGAGCCGAGCCAATAGGAGCTTAGGTTACTCAGGTAACACTTGAAGCACGGCTACATCTCTGCTAGGAGAACACAATTTGCTAGCAGAGCTCCTATTAGGTTTCATACTTGGTGGTCTTTAACGCTGCCAGATTTAAGGCGATACTGACATTTAGAAGCCATGTGAAAGTGATCAGCTGGCCTGGTGCCAAGCAGCCATCTTTACGAGCGCGGTTTTACACTCAACATTGTCAATTTCCAGGCTTAAGTGACTGACAGAAAGGGTGATTAACACCAGCATCATTACATTCAGCTTTATTACCCTAAAATAGCCCAAAGAACTTAAGTCACGTGTCCCAAATGACACCCAAGACTATCACTCAACATTGACCTGTACTTATGATTCCTACTGTCACCCGTGTAATGGCTGACCCTACCAGCCATGGGGAATATGAACAGTCTGTCATGCTCGCACTCATACACCAACACATGCATTTCAAATGGTTTCCACTAGAGGGAGCAAAGGATGGAACGGGGAGCAAAACACCTTTTATATCTGACAGAGGTGGCTCGGGGTGGGGGCAGTGCCCCTGTGACAACATGCATCCCCCCCAGCTGCCCCCCTAAATATGCTACTTGGGTCTGAATAAATGCATTATTATTATTATTATTATTATTATTATTATTATTTCCGTTTATATATGCGGGCTAAAATTTTGTGCGCTGGGAATAGGCGAGACACAAACGTAAGCACATTTTCCTGACTCAATGCGGGGGGGGCACCGGGTGGTCGAGTGGCTTCAGTTGGTGAAAAGTAAAATTAAAGACAGAAAAAGATAATCAAGCTTGTGGAAGCAAGGCAGTCTAAACGAGGAATCAGAATTAAGTACATATTTGTAAAAACTGTGAAATGTGACTGCAAAGCATTGCATAAATAACACTGGTTTTCAAAAGTGTCTTGATTCCTAATGATGGCAATCTAGTGCAAGTAATAGCTGTTGACATTAAGGTCAAATGCATCTGACCCCCACCTAACAGAACAACTGGCCCCAGTCTGGTCCACTCAATTGAAATGGTCTTGAACTGCCACTGATACCAGAGCTGTTCCGCTGGTACTTTCATGCAAAGTGACTTACAATGTAACATGAGCTCAGCTGTGGGTTTTACTGGAGCAATTCCGCTTAAAGTACTTTGTTAGAGTACTAGAGGAGAGCCCCCACGGAGACCTCGTCTGGGAGGCTCCGGGTCCAAATCGCGGCCCACCTGCCATGCGGTGACATTTGCGGCGGTCCAAAACGAAGAGGTGTGTTCCTGGGGTGTATTTATAGGAATGACGGCACCAGCAAAGGCCCTTACGGCTCACGAGCAGGGAATTTTAAAACCCCGAAGAGCCTCGGTCACGGTCCCGGATGAAGGCTCACCGTGATGTTCTCCAGGTCCAGGTGCTTGTTGTGCACCCTCTCACACAGCTTACGGATCTTCTCCTTGACTCGGCTCATCTCCTTGGCCGTCATCTGGTCCTCGGCACTGTAGTCCTGCTCCAGCTCCAGGAGCCGGATCATCAGGTCCAGGCTAGCCCGGTCCAGGTCCATGTTGAGCCGGTCGCGGCTGAGGATGTACATCAGGGAGGCCGTGCACAGGGCCAGGTTCTGAGATGCGGGGGAGGAGCGAGTGAAACTCAGTTTATAGAGGAATAGCAGCAGAGATTTCCTTCAGCGTGGGCACAAATAAAGCCAGGATTAAGCAGAAGGGCAGAGGGCATCCCTCAGTCGAACAGTGATTATGCCGGTGGGCGTACCGGGTGTTGAGGGGCATCGTTCAAGGTCTTGAACACCTGGGCGACCTTCCCCCGGGCTCTCAAATGCATCCTGAAGCTGGGCATGGCACACCTCGTGGCCAGGCTGATGACACTGGAGCCGGGGTGGGGGGGTAAAGATATGTAGAAAATGAAGGTGCCGATCATTTCAGGATTGGAGGGGTTGGCGGCGAGCTTAAGGTGGACGTTACCTAAGGCAGCGCGTGTTGAGCGGCTGGCCACTCTTAAGGCCCGTGGCCAGGTACTCGAAGTCGTCCGTGAACTCCTGGTTCTCGCCAAACTCAACCACGTCATTGAAATGCTTCACATGCTGGACGACGGTGTACAGCTATCGGGGAAGGGAGAAGGGGCACAAAGACGGGCATCATGCACAACAGTAACATCAGCTATAAACTACTGCTCCACAGTGCCCCCTGTTGGCTGCAAATAGAACTGGAAGTATACAAAACAGTATGATGTGGAATCTTTATAGAAGCTTTCACACAAGGCTAAAAAAAAAAATTAAAAAATTCAGTCTTGGTGCCTCCAAAGCACGGACTGAAGAACTAAGTCTAACATGCAGCGGTCTGGCTCCAGGCAGGATTAGCCAAATACATTAAAGCCGTCCAAAGCACCACAGTGGACACGTGAGTAATAAGGCTGCCTTCCCATCCTTGATGGATACAGAAGGACCTGAGAGGGTTAGAGCCCAGCTATTCTTAGCATGGGGGGAGGGAAGAGAAAAGACGGAGTGCATTTCCTGGTCAACGGCCAAACGCAGAACACAGGCGTAAATGAAAGTGCAGGTGGACTCCAGTAACATAACGTGCGCTATATATATTTTCAGAGGGAGCTTGCGCAGAGACCGGCAATTAAAGGAAGTGACCCTGTTTCGTCAGCCAGAAATAACGACAGATGATCACTTTAGAGATGAGACAAAACAGACTTTTAACCAATAAATGTGGCTGAAAGGTTGCAATATACACTTAGGACTGTCAAGCAATTACGTAAACCATGCATTCAATATTGCTGCAATGTTTTTGAAAGGAGCAAGACATAAAAATACTTCCAGGCTTGCTTGCAAAGCTGGGGGGGGTGGGTGATCATGAATGTGTGAGTGGGGGGAGGGGTCAAGTATTATTTTGCTTTCCTTTCCTTGAAAAGAGGCTTTTAAGTAGCTTGAATAGAAATGCTAAATTGTTTCCACGCTGTATGGGGTTTAAGTGTCAACTAATGACCTGATGACCGCTCCCAGTGCGTGGTCTGGCCTCCTGGCAGGGCGTTCAATAATCATTCATCTTAAAAGCGGAGCGTCAGGTCCCCAGGCTATGGGGGGGGGGATCTGTGGCTGGCCAGGCACATGGGCCGGACCTCGAGTCAGGCTTTACCTCCTTGTGCTCCTTCCTGCACTTCAGGGCCGTGACGATGTCCTGGTACGGCTCCGTGGGGAAGGTCACCGACTTGATGACTTTGGAGGGCGGCAGCGGCGACTTGAACACCCCCTCGTCCTTTTTGTGGGAGTTGGTCTCCTTGCTGCCCCCCGACAGACTGGCCTGTGGGAAAGGAACGGCCGAAATTACGGACCTTCTGGAAAGCGATCGTATGAAGCTGAAGGAGGAGAGAAACGAACGGCTGAGGAGGAAGGATGGGCGGCGCCAACTTAACCGATCCGTTTTAAAGCCTAGCGAATGCAAACACCTTCTAACCAAGGCCATGCATTCTAAAATGTTTATTAAAAAGAATTAAACAGCCTAGAGGCACTGACTGGAGCAGGGCTGTGAAACGCGTGCGTGACAAACCGCCCTGCCCGGGGTAATGGAGGGTGGGGGGGGGCAGTTTGACATTTCAGCTCTGCCACCAGATGCACGGAGCCTCATTTGCATGGGCTTGGCTGAGCTTCAGCCGAGGAACTTGGGAGACAATGGGCCTCTTTAACAGGAGCAGCCTGTGGCGGCCCTTCTGATTGGCCGGGGGTCAGGCAGGACAGACGGTCTTACCGGGGCAGTCTTCGAACGGGACAGGGGCGGCGGCAGATCCTCCGGTTCCGGCTGGTTCCAGTGTCTGGCGTTGTAGACGGCTTTGGTGGGGGACTGCAGAGAGGGGGTGGGGGGGGGGTGAGTCAATGCAGACCCAGTAAACCCACCCAGGTCTTACAAAGGCCCTCGCTGTGAGGGGGCACCAAGGCAGCCCAAAGCCCCGATGACATCATTTCCATGTCACCATTAGCCTAATGGCGGGTCACCACAATGCCTAGGAGGACGGCGTTCAAGGAAGACAAACACAGAGTCCGCGGGAGTCTGGAACATTCCTGATCTTCACACACTCTTAAAAATGTCACTGACTGGCCTAACATGAGACATGAAACAGGGCATCACACTCAATAGGGACGGCCATGAGGACCATTACATTAAAGGTGCAAACAATCAAAGCAGTGGTATTTATGTTGGCATCATTTATTTACATATCTATCACGCTGATTTGCTCAAAGAGACTTACAGATGAGGGAAGGGTCCTTAGGATTCAAACCCATGACCTTTGTGTTATTAAAAATGTTGCGCTACAGAAGTTACATCTACATCATCTTCATCACCATCAACCGGGCATCTTATAGGTGTTGGTTTGTTTTCGGTTCAGTTTGACACATTTGAATAGGTTCAGAAGAGAAGCAAAGGTTTCCAACCCGACACAGTGGATACCAGGACACTCCATCCAGTCAGGCCAGAGGGGGAAGAGCTCCATCTGACAGCAGGTCAGATGGACCGACGAGCTGTGGGGAGACCCTCTCCTTTTCACGGGATCGGGAATTCCGGAGCCAAATCCCCAATGTGGAAGCACGTACAACAGACGCCCCATACACACGCCAAGGACCCCTAGCCTGGGTCCACCAGGCTAAGCGAGTAGAGAGCAACCCCCCAGGATGAACCGAGGCCTATTCCTGGGATATTATTTGTGGGGAGCATGAGGGAAAAGAAAAAAAATCAAAAACACACACGCACTTTGCTGACCTGCAATGCCATTTAACTACAGGGCGACGGGATTAATTGTCAGGGTGATAATACTGCGGAGGTAACGGGGGGCGGGACTTACGGAAACCGGCAGCGATCCTGTGACGGTTGCATTACAAAGCGGGTCTGCAGCTATAAGACGCTCCACCTCTCACCCACTGACATTTCCCAAAACTCCAAAGCACCCCTGCCACGGTCCCTGTCCACAAAGGCCAGCGCATTCGGACGATGACGGAAAGGACAGAAGCTTTGTAAACGAAAGACGGCAGGGGAGAGTCCTACGGTTTATAATTAAAGGCCATTCGCACCTTTACAGGAATATGACGACGTGTCACAAACGCACCTCCCTCTGGCTCAAGGGCCGTGTGATCATACGGAGATAATTACAATCAAACATTAAATGGCCATAATCGGATTAATCATCTCATAAAACAAAAAAGAGCAATGATTACACTCCTGCCAGTCTTAATTTTCACATTTAAAGAATTATCACTCAATTTTCATCCATTTTGAAAAATCTGTAATGGGCTGTAATAAGGACAGACGTCGCCAAAGTGGTTCTGGGGAGAGACGGCAGTAACCAGCATGCACACAAACTGGAAACGATGGGAACAGGCTGAGGAAAAGAGAAACGATCACAGAGCAGACCTTAAACCAGACTCCACAGCTGGAATACGCTCTCAGTCCAATTAAAATGCCTTAAACTAACGGAAATGAGTCCTTCCCAAAAACAACCCATAGGGGGCGAACAGGCCACCCAAGACAGGCCACAGAACATCCCAGTCGTTTAATGGGTCGTTTTACCATCAGCTGCTCCGACCAGTGTTACCTAATCCTGAAGCACCGACTGCGTTCAAAACAAGCAAAGACCGGATCCTCCGACCTCCGACACCTGCGAGGAAGTCCCTCGACGGGGAACATCCGATCCCCCCCAAAGCATGTAGTTAAATCCACTCCACTCGACAGTCATGACTCCAAACACAAGGGCCCATTGGGCCCGGATCACCGGCCCGATGATGCCTCACATTCTGCCGGCCCGCTCTGCAGCACATGCCAGACAGCGGCTGGTGGCTAGCAGCCTATTCAAACGCCCAAGCCTCAGCTTCCCAATCCAGCAAAAGACCTTCTAGACTAAGCACAAGTCCGTCAGACTCGATGATCCTCTCAAGCACCTCCGGTTGATATTACACAGAACAGGGAGATATCGATTAACAGGGCAGGAAGGCAGAGAAAAGGACAATGACAGAGCGAGCGAATGCAATCCAAAATTCGGCTTAGAAGAGTCCACACAAGCACTGGGCGCCGTATCAGAAAGGCCTCCGTCCGCATGATATAGCGGTTACCTTCTTGGGGCCGCTGAATATCTTCCGGCTGCTCTCCTTGGATTTCTCGGACTGCTTCCCCTGGGACCTCTTCTGTGCTCCAGGTGCCACTGGACAGGAATCCTCTGGGTACTCTGAGACATCTGCAGGAAAGGGGGAGGGGGGCAGGTGCGGGTAAGACCGGGCATGGACTGTCTGTGGATCTCGGAGGACCGGACAGGGAAACACCGAGTTAGAGGAAGACGGGTAAGACAGCAAGAGATTCTGATGCTAGGACGCATGGCACAAAAGCCCTCATAGCTAAAAGACTCATTAAATCCCTGGGGTGGAAGGGGGACTAGATTCTATTATGACCTTTAAGCTAAACTTCACAACTTGTGAGCTCCTTGATAGAGACTTAAAAACTGATCCTGACCCTGAATCCACAGATCTGCTCCTAGCAAAAATAACCATTAGCCTCCAGGAAGTTACATTTAAATAATGTGGCTGCAGAGGAGCTCCTTACCGAACCGTGACAGAATGAGTCCGGACAATCAGAACGCTACTGCCCCCTACAGACAACTACAGGAACACGGTAGCTTAACCGCAATTGCAACCGCAGGTGCTGATGACACAAATATAAAGTCATCAGTCGTCTGTCAAGCCAAGACACGAGCGAGGCTCGTGCCGTCCGACGGGATTTACGTTTACTGCGGGGCTCGATGAAGCGAGCTCAGAAGCTTAAAAGGGAAGACGATGTAATTAAGCAACAAAGTGATCCGCATTTGCGTTATTGGCTCTGTAAAAAAATAAAAATAAATAAAAAATACCGTTATGCCATTAAAGGACTTACGGCTCATTCTGCAAGTCTGTTAAATGGGGCTTATAAGCGAGCTGCGTAAATAACCGACAGCTTTTAGCAAAGTGCTGCTTTTCCCCTCACAGGACACCTACACCCCCGTCTCAGTGAAGATGGTTCAGCCCAAGCGTCTAACATGGAGCCTGCAGAGATTTGCAGCTGGGCTCAGCATTCCGCCCTGGCGGGGGGAGCATCACTGCCGGCTATAAATTGCAATGTGACCGTGCGTCGTAGGGCTGAGAGCGAGTGCCCTGACTGAATTTTCAAGCTAATGCCTCTATCCAAAGCACTATCACACAATTATACATTAACAGGGTCATCTGGTTCTACATCTCCAACGTATAACTGCAGGGCCCCCCTGGACCCAACAACCATATGTGGATCTATGGAATCCGGCAGAGATGTGAAAGTGGAACGGCTATCCTACCCGTGTTAGTGCTGGCCTGGCTGTCCTGGCTGTCAGCGCTGAGGGGTGTGGCCAGTGTCGCCTCGGTGACGGCCGCCGCAGCCGCAGCCGCAGCCGCCGCCGCCTTCTTCTTGGCCCTCTTCTTCTCGGCGGCGAGCGAGCCCTCGTCCTCCTCATCGCTGTCGCTCTCGCTCAGGTCGTCGAAGCCGAAGTACTTGATCTTGTATGTGGCACTGCCTGACGCGGCGGGATCCCCGTCGGCCTCCTGGCCCTCGCTTTCCTCGAACCCGAAGAAATCCAGCTTGGTCTCCTTCTTGGACTTGCTCTGTGCGGGCCGGAATCTGCAGTGGAGAGGAGGAGGCGGCTGCTGCAATGCTGCTCACACACATAGCTCAGCGGTCACTGGAAGCTCAGCGGTCACTGGAAGCTCAGCGGCCACTGGAAGCTCAGCGGCCACTGGAAGCTCAGCGGCCACTGGAAGCTCAGCGGCCACTGGAAGCTCAGCGGTCACTGGAAGCTCAGCCCAGCCCTAATCATGCCTAGTCGCCTCCTTGACCGAATGAATGTGCCTCACTCGTACATCGCTTTGGGCAAAAGCATCTGCCGAGTATATAAACGTAAATTCAAGACACGGGTTTATGAACTGGCGGCTGTAGTTATAGGTCACGACCCCGCAAGAGAGACAAACGAGCAGGTGATTCTTTGCACGACCTCAGAGGCAAACGACCCCACGCGCGCACTGAGCATGTGAGAGCCCAGATACGTCACCGGAATTCACCGGAACGGAAGCTGGGATAGGAGGGAACGACTTTACCGCATCTGACACAGCCGCCGTTAAATGATGAAGACAGCGGTCATGTTAAATAGCAGGTGATACTACGGTTATTTTTTTTTTGAAAGAGCCACCACATCCAGAAGTGAGTTTGAGATAAGATTGATGTCAAAGTTCTTGATAGTTACAGCTACAGCAGGCTGCACACGCTCACAAAAGTTTAACAGAATTAAAAATGAGAATCACTAAAACATGTTTAGCCAAGACACAGTTTTCAGGGTCACGATGCAGGTCGTGTAATAATTACACGCTTCTAAACGTGCCAGAGTTGCTATCTTGTAATCACTAGAAGCTCCTTCACGTGCCAAAAGCAATTCACAGCTGCCTCTTAATTTGTTTTGCCTCATGTGAGCCGCGATAATGAAAACTGCCATGCTGTTAAATTTAGCTTGGAGTGCCCCGCCCTGTTTTGGTCATGTGACCGTGGGACCTGCCTTGCACATGAGTGGCGCGCGGGATAACGGCACGCCATCGACCAGACGGGATACCTGGCAGGTTTGGCGGCCGCCGCCTCCGTCTTCTTCCTCAGACGGCCGGCCTCTCCCAGGTCAGCAGGCGCCGTCGTGGAGGTGAACTCCTCCATGCCCCTGTCCATGGAGTCCTGGATGGTGACGTTGCAGACGGACAGGCAGGATGGGTGCAGCACGGTGTAGTCCCGCGTCCGGCCTCTGGGGGTGCCGTCCGCCTGGCCGCTGACCCTGAGGGACCCGGAGCTGGACAGGGGTTTGCCATCTGCGCCAGTGGCCTGTCTGGCCTTGTTGGGCCGGTGGTACGTCCTGCAGTTGGGGGGGCGGGTGAGCCCCTGCGAAGGATCCTCAGCCGGCACCTCGCTGTCGCCCGTCCCGGGCTCCCCGCTCTCCCCTACGCCAAGGAAGTCCCCACACGGGTCCGAGGCCACGTCCCCCCCGCCCCGCCCGTCGCCCACCTTCCACGCGGACGCCGGGTCCACCGGCTCGGAGCTGGACGACACCGACAGACCGGCCACAGAGTTCCAGTTGCCCAGCGGATCCCGGGCCTCAGTCTTTAGCGTGGTACTCTGGGAGGTGGGCTTCTTGTCGCTTTCCGAGGCGTTTTTATACCAGGAATAGCTGTCCTTCGCCGCTCCCTCACTCGACCACGTCCTCCCTGGGAAGAGCGGAGGGGACATTAATGGCCAATATCCAGAGATCGCAAGCACCCAGCTTGAAAACAGTCAATTACGCCGCCCAAATATATCTCTTGGAAGACTGTCCAGATGACACTTAAACACTGTCTGCTCTATCCCCCTTTGTTTTTATCTATTAGTGCTTTATTCCCACCCCCCACCACCACCCCACCCTACATAGATTCATGCGGTGCAGGAGGCACAGATAGCTGTATCTATTCTTACACCTCCAACTGCTGGACTTGTCTTGCAGATCCTGCACCCCCTAGATCCGCCACACCACAAATCTGGTATTCCGAGCAGAGCAGTCCCTGCTCCCAGCTGGGGGAAGCATGGGGTAAAGCCCTGGGTGCGAGTGGAAGCTCCGTCGCTCGTTACAGGTGTCCGGGCCGATGGCCGAACAGGAAGCCGCATCAGCGTACTGTAAGCGACGTAAGACCGACCCGACAAACACGGGCCGCCAAACATGACTTAAGCCACAGGCGCTTCCGAAATGCGCTTCTGAGTCACGCGACAGAGTGCCACGTTTTGGGAGAGCTGCAATTCCGCAGCTGCCAACTGCACCGCTGCCGCCGCGGCCTCGTTCTGTGTCACGAGGCTGAGCGTCGCGTCACGCAGTGAAAACATCCAGTGTGAGAGCGGAAATACGACACAGAAAGGAGCGTGCCTGCGGGTCGGGGACGAGCACGGCACAGACCACAACACAAGGCACCTGGCACCTTCACGTTGGCAGAAGGGGTTCGTGGCACACCAGTCAACAACCGGCACCTCGTCCTACCAAAAATGGGAACAGCTTCAACACCAAAAACAGCCAAGGCAACAAGCACTTCATCCTTACAGTGAAGCCCTCGCCATCAACGCTTCATCCTTACAGTGAAGCCCTCGCCATCAACGCTTCATCATCTGCTGTGTACTTTAAAAACATTCATAAGAAAACATCACTGCAGGGATGCAAATAACTGTATAGTGTCTAAGAAAGGTCATTTTTATAGTAAAAGGCCACAGATGTTTTTTCCACAAGAGGGACTCGTCTGTGCAGACAGCTTAGCAAGCTAGTGATAGAACAATATGCACTGGCAAGTCTGCCATTGTGTTTCCAAGGGAACCACTCAGGAAACCAGGAGCACACCGACACGAGCCAAGTACACCACATGAATGACATCCAGTGAAGAACCTGGATCCACATGGCATTTTAAAACAAAGGCAGCCTGATTATGGACCGTGCATAAGATGATACACATTCATGCTTATTTATAAGCAGTTTTATAGGGGGGGGGGGGGGGGGGGGGGGGCGACTACTTCACGGTCTCACTAAAAACAGTAAGTGGCTGTTAAACAAGATTAAAGGATCTGAAGAGCAGGTAGCTACAGACGCAGTGTGAAAAGTGGGGCAGTGAATGGTTTCTTAGCCTCTTGCTGAATTCTGTGGTGTTCATTTGACAGAATTGTTCAAAAGTACAACAAAAAAAAAAAACGATGCAGTTCCTGCCTGCGGAGTTCTCAGAATATTCCGTCCCATTCGCACGGCCCTGAGCGGAGGCGTCCAATCGCAGGTGACGGGGACCAATGTGCGAGACGCTGGCACCACCGGGACGTTGCTAGAGCGCGGAGAGACGGCTCATCATCACAAACGCAGCTAGCTGGACTGCACGGTGAAAACCAGGGAGATTTGGGGAGGTTCAGACAGGCGCAGGACAACAAGCCCAGGACCCCCGCTCCATTCCCCTGATCAGTGTAACAGAAACCGGAAGAGTCACCAGCTCAATCTACGCACCATGCAGAAGAGATACTTGATAATGAGTCGGGTATCTTCCAAGTCGGCCCCAGTCATTGCGCACGGCTTCTGCTTCGCTGGATATTATTCTCCGGTTTACTACGTTTCACTATAAAAATTAATTAATTATCTTGGCTTTCGGACAAAAGTCGTCCTAAAAATCATCAGCAGTCCACCCCCCCAAAAGATCGAGGTAATTAAGGCTGGGTTATTAAGCCCATCCGCAGGCAAACAGACGCTCCACTCGATCGCGCTTCTCCACATGTACTGACCGACCGGCTCCGTGTTGCGACACACCGGCATTGCCTCAGCTCTGGTGTGAATCATCGCTTACAAAACACTCAGAATCACTGCACTCATCCAGTTCCATGATGGCAGTATTTACATAACAGATTACAGATTTGTGCTTAACACCCCGTATATTAAAAAAAAAACAGCCTATATACATTCTAACCATATCAGCGAGACTAACTGGACACACCAGCTTCTCCAGTTGATTTAGTGTCTCTAAAGTGAGTTTTAATTTGACAAAGGTCTATGGCAGGGTTCCCAAATTCCAGTCCTGGGGGGCCAGTCTACAACACAGTTTGCAAGTTTCCCTGCTCAAACACACCTTATTCAGCTCACCAGCCAATTGCCGAGTTTATCATGTGTGCCTGAGCAGGGAAATCTGCAAACCATGTTGCGGACTGGCCCTCCAAGACCGGAATCGGGGAACCCTTGTCTTTGACAATAGGCACGCAGAAAAAGGACACATCTCTTACATAGTTATAAAGACCCTCAGCACACGTTACATTGAGAAACGCTTAACCGGTGATGTACAATGAGAAATTAAACTTCGCACCCCAGTTTAATAGATGTTCTCTAAATGGAAAGTGTTACCCAGCTGACAAACGGTGTTTATATGCAGAGATATTCCAGTTGCTTTGCAGTATGTAAACATTACAGGTTCACCCTGATAGCCAATGAGGGCAGCCGTGCACATTATGAGAATGTCAGGACCTCTATTTGCAGGGTGGATATCCAGTAACAAATATTCCATATTTATTAAGTTTTATCAAGTCACTGGGGGATGTTTACTTTTATTCTTTAAACTCTATGACTTTAGTAAGATGTTTTTAAGGTGAATCAATTTCTATTCTTAAAATATCATCATGTACCATTTACAGAATGTAGACTTTCAAAAATAAAACTCTGAAAACTACTTATCAAACAGAAGTTCTAAGAACACTAAACAAGTACCTGAGGCATATCAAAGAGCCATTTCTGAGTTTTCAAATAATTAACCTCATTAAAACTCCCAATAAAACCCATCAGTTGATGAGCCCTTCATAGTGTTCAATAGGCATTAGCATTAATGTGGCCGCAAAGTCGTTTTAAAACTTTGCTTAATCCACACGCATTGATCTTTTTATTCCAGTGATTCTAAGCAGTTAAAGGAGCCTTAAAACCACTGACCGGTGCCCTTGAAGCAGTCATCCTGCATTAAACTGATGCTTAAGGGCAAAACCAATTTCAATTTCTTTAGCACAGATTACCACGCCATTAACTTGCACCGGTCATGTTCAAAATGGAATAAAACAATTAGCAAGAAGCTGATTGGCTATTGACAGCACACAAGCCAATGATGTTACTGACGTTGAGCCATTTATGGGCAATGGACTGACTTTGGTTTCTTCTGAAACCAGTTTGGAAGTTAAGCCTTCGAGAAGGTACTGCTTATGCAAAGGACTGCAGGTTCTGCTAGCAGGTCAGCAACCAGACCTGTGACATTGAAACGGGTCTCTCTGGTGCACCCTCACACGAGGAGTTTCACCCGAATTATTTCATTCAAATTCGGCCTGCTGTACCGGCAGGTAAATAGAAGCTCGTTAAAGTCATTCTGGATAAAATCGCCTGCCTAATTAGCTAACAGAAAGGGTGAGGAGCAGATTCAGCTTAGTGAGTCAGCCCAACATTAGAACATCGCTGCCTGTCTGACTCGAGGCCGTCATGCCAAGAATGTGTCCAACGTCCGATCCCCGCGTAGCCGGGCCTGCCGCCCCAGAGTGCCCCCCACGGACCCGTCTGGGCCTGTCAGACACCCGCCGAGAACATGTTATTGTTGTCTTTTTGATATGCAGTTCCAGTGACCCTGGCCACATGCAAATCACACCCTACATGTTTTGTTTTTTTTTTGTAACAATAACAAAACAGAAGCAGGGAACGTTTGCGACGCGTGGGGGGGCTTTCTGTGCACAAACCCCCCCAGGTCAAGACACACCGCCGCACAGCACTGCTTTCAGAGCTGATCCTTTCAATCCTCCTGCACTTAATGGAGTTACTCTCCAGCAAGACCAAAAATAACCTGCATTGGCGATGCAACTTTTGCTTTGGCAGCATTTTCCCCCAAATTAACTGCAGCTTCAGTTATAATCATTCAAAATATACCTTCTAATCTATTACAGAACTGAGTACAACAGTACATTCGACCAACTATAGATGTACCCTTGATAGGCTTAATCGTATTGTTTTTAAATTGATGTTTAAACAAGGGTTTTTGTGACCTTCTACCTCAGTGTTTTCCAACCCGATCCTCAGGGACCCCAGACTTCACATTTTTTTGCTCCCTCCCAGCTCCCTGTAAGCAAAAACATGGACTGCCTGTGGCTCCCCAAGGACTGGATTGGGAAACACTGCTCTAGCCTAAATTCAGACCTTGTACTCTGCTTTGATAGTTTTCGCTTCGCTTTGATGATGACATGCTGCAAGACCAAGCGACCATCAACCCTCCAACTTTCAAAATGAGCTGATCCTCGGACTGTGACTAGGTGGACTGCCATGTATTTTAATACCCATTTATTGGAAATAAATGGTACTTTTTCCATACTCTACACCAGTGTTTCCCAACCCAGTCCTTAGGGAACCCTGGACAGTCCATGTTTTCCGCTTCCTCTCAGCTCCCAGCACACCTGTACCAGGTATTCGGTGATCCTGATTGGCTGGGAGCTGAGGGGGAGCAAAAACTTGGACAGTGTGGGGTTCCCCGAGGACTGAGTTGGGAAACACTGCTCTACACACACCACTGTGGATAAGAGGCTCTGTTGAGAATGTAAACACTAAACACTAGTTAAAACACACACGATAGCAGGCTATTTCCTGCATGCCTGCTGGGGCAGGCAGCCCTGATAGCACACAAAACACAGACTGACTGCAACCATCGGTTGAACTGACTGTGTCAGTGGGACTCAGCAATTACTTGACTTTTATTCATTTTACTTTCTTGTGGATTATCTAACTGTAGTAACTGAGCAAAGACCACTAACCTACTGAACTCTCCTGCCCATACATTTTAAATCCATATGCTATGTCCACGCTACTTAGCAACACAACACGACAACCTGACAAGGACAGTTTCTAACGCCACAGAGGGTGGGATTTTCCAGCTGCTGTCAATCACTGATTGGTTGATCTTGATGGGGATGCAGCTCAGTAACCAATAAGAAGTGGCAGACAGAAGTAGGCATAAGGCAGCCAATACAGTTACTGCCAACAGGCCTGGAAACAGTCATGAGCACTTACCTGTATTGCTGTTAAAGGCCCAGTTGCTGGTGTCCTTGTCACCATCCAAGATGGCGGCATCCCAACCGGGGGGAGAGGCCTCTATGCTGGCTGACGGAGCCACTCTGCTGTTGGCCCCGAGTGGGGTACGCGGCCTCTCGGCGCAGCTTGGCTCAGCGGGCGGGGCCCGAGGCTGGGCAATGTTGCGTGAGGTGACGGGCTTCGAGTCGTCATCGCTGTCGAAGCCGAAGGGATCCTCGGAGCTGTCCTCGTCCACGCGACGGGGCTTTTTGGGAAGCTCGCTTACCTCGGGCCGGAAGCCCAGCCTCTTGGAGCCCACCGTGGCCGTTGTCTCCCCCCATTTGGTGCTGAGGGTGGCCTTCTTGTTAGAAAATATCTCATCGAACTTGGAGCTCCCGTCCCCTCCCTTGCGACTGTAGGTTTTACCAAATCGTGATGTCATTGTGACGCCTGTTTCATATTCTCTGTTCCAAAAGGGGGGAAAACAGGTGAGGTTCAATAAATATTCGCAATTTATATTTGTTACATTCCAAAGCCACAAACATAACTTTCTTTTAAGTCATGCAGCCACTCAGTTTTCCAAAGCTAGACAACGTCTGGGAGGTCAAGCAGATTTCTCCTTATTAAACCACAACTACATAAAACACAACTTTATGTCAAGCATTTTAATAGCTACAATCCAGCTCTGCAGAACAGAATGTAATTCTGGGTGAAATCCATTTGTACAAGCCAAACAGCTCCACAAAATGTTATTCAATCATCAGCCTTCAGGAGCATAAGGATGAATGTGTCTTTTTTGAGTTCTAGATCTGATAAAGCACAACTTCTAACCTTGGCATGACCGCATTTGAAAAAGCACAATAGACAGCTTACAAAAGTCATACTTCATTCCACAGCCAAGCTTCAAAAAAACTGCATTAAATTAAACTATAAATATGCACACATCTTGACAGCAGAGCACATAAAATATATCCCGAGTAGCCAAGAAACAGTCAAATACTCCTCCAGCAGACGCTAAATTGCTCACGTTGCAGGTCAACAGACAAAATAACTAAACATCAAAATAAATCTTTAAGGTTGTCTGCAAGGATTATCTTTTCGATTCAAGAATGCAACATAACAGTATTAGTCTCTCCAAAAATCTTTTACTTGTCACAGTAGCTGTATATTGTGTTAGATGCTTCTTGTTAGCCAAAAATATTCTTCAGTATAATTTCAAAGGTACATGACTGTAAACATATTCTCTGTGTGGTATATTTTTCAATATGAAATAAATACCGGTGATGTACAATGAGAAATTAAAACCCTGTATTGATAAATCAGCTGCACTTTCCATAAACAGGAAAACTTTCAGGATTTTCTGCACTGGTAATACACTAACTCCAAGAAGCACAAATTTCCCGGAAACACCATAACTTCCATGATGAGGGAGAATTCAATGACCACCCAGGCGTGGGGGGAGTTCATTTCTGATACGTGATAGCTGCTGGTAAAGCACTGCGCATGCGTACGCCCCGCACCGTGTCACGGACTGGAAAAGCTGGGCTAGGGACCTATCCAAGGGACTCCATATCGGCGTATTTGACATAAATTTCAGTTATTATAGCGAAACTCGCTCCAAAATTAAACGAATATCCGAATAACAACAATATCAGGTGAACTGATGTCGAGGCAGATTTAATGCATGGGGTGAATTGCGTTCAGACGGGCATGCATACCTATCACACTAAAGACACATTTATTTACGAATAGGAAATCGAAAGGAATCGTAATATTAGATTTTTTCATTATTCAAACCCTGCTATGTGGGTAGCAAACCAAAATACCGGCAGATACGTCCCACCTTATGAACACCAATGACGTTATTTCACAGCTGGATGTGTGATACGTTAGTGCTCAGTATTTGGTTTTATTTAGCTGAATACGGTCTCTCACACACATTAACGCAGATTAATTCAGAAGTGGACGAGGGTCTCGCCACCTAGCTCATTAGCCGACTAAGCTAACGCTCATCTAAGCGGACACCGAGAGCAACTCCGTCCAAAAGGCAGCCTAGGATGTGTGCTGTTATCAAAATACCACGCACATCTTTACTTTTACCAGCAGCAATGGAGCCCGCTCAAACGTCAATATCCCCAAGTAGTCAAAGCAGACGAAATGGCTCTCTGCCTGCTGAAAATCACTTTGGAGGAAAAGCTGTATATCTGGCCATGCAGGCAGAAGCCTCGACGTGTTTCACGGAGCCGTGTAACAGGGCAGTCCCTGTGGTTATACAGCACAGCTGACAGCTGCCTGTCCCAGCACAGCTATTTACACCAGACTTTAAGAACCAGGGAATCACCGCCGGGTCTGCTAGCTAACTAGCTAGCATGTTAGCTACAGGACCCTCGCTTCTCAGTATGTAAGGTCCCGCGTAACCTTCATCCAACTCCAAACTACCATTTTTTTTTATTACATCACCGTCCAGAAAAGGCACCCGGAGAGGTAACCGACCTATCTGCCGCTGGAGAAGGCCGAGCCGCTTCAGTCACACTCCGGAGACGGCCGCTTCTTTCCACTCGCACCGACAGGGCCTCTTCTCTAAAACCTCCCCGCACAATATAAACAAGGCACCAACTACTCGAAGCGAAGCCGGCTGCGGTGACTTCAAGCAATGCAACGATTTTCGCAACACCGGTGCCAATAACGATGCTTGTTTTTAAAGGTGTAATTCTCGAATTGTTAAGTACTTAGCTATTTAAAACTCGACTGAGTCGATTATGCTTCGCCGATGGCTTCCATTCGGGTTCCCCCCCCTCCCTCGTCCCTGCGCTGCCAACAACACCGTCACTACTCCGCAAACTGAAAATTGACCAATCAGGAAGCCAGACGTTGGCATGTCATTCTTAGTCCGCCGCGCACCGAGGATGTAAAATGAGATGCTATTGGTTGTTGGCTGAAGGAAACGATTCGATAGTGAAAATAAAGAGCGAGTGGGCGGGATGGAGGGAGGGATGTCGATGCGTCGGGAATAAAACGCAATCACGTAAAGCGAAAGGCCCGCCGGGAATGGTAGTGAGTGAACAATTTCTTTTGGTTGCGATGGGTTGGCGCACCATCCTGGGTTGTTCCCTGCCTTGCGCCTGTAGCCTCCGGGATAGACTCCGGACCCTCCGCATCCCTGAATAGGACAAGCGGTTTCAGAAAATGGATGGATGGATATAATGAGTGTTTTCTCCTTAAAACTTTACATTATATTTATTGCCCTAATAGTATGACTATGTGTGTGAGTGGGATTATGTGTGTCATTGGGAGCGAGTATATGTGCCCTACGATGGTCATTCCGTTCGTGGTATATTCCAGCATGATGCTATAGGATGCGTGGGATCAGTTCCGGGGCCCCTTGTCCGTGACCAGGATAAACGGTTAGAAGATAATAGATGAATCGATTAATTGACCTTTTTTAATAAATTCCATTATAAAGCCCACAATTAATGCCAGTTTAATCAGAAAATTGAGTGTAATGGCTTAATGTAAAGCAATTTGTTTAGATGAAGTTATCTGAAATATATACCTAATTATATTCAAATTCCTGAAAGTGCAATATAACATGACATGCTTTATGCATAGAATATGCAAATAAAGCATATTTACAACCGTATGGTCAGCAGAAGAGGGAGACAAATAATTTTTATTGATAAAATTGTGATAAAATGCGCAGTGAGACTGATTAAGCAGTAGAAAACTCAATGATGTCATGTGGGTGTAGTCCAGAGTGTTTTTCTTTTTAGGCACGAGCACCATTTTTTATTTGTGAGGCATACAATAACACAACGCATTGTTTTTGCTTGTCAATAAGTGAATCACTGCATCCGTTGATAATTACGGCTGGCTGGATGTTACAATTAATGTCTTTTTCTATAGTTTATTGTTTACATGGTTCTGGCCTCTGTCTCCGCTTTTGCAGTTATATTTTAAATGCCAGCATGTTTTTCCTTTGTTTTTTGAAGGAAAATTCAGTTTTTTCAGCTCAGTACCGCGCAACACTGATTAAAAAGCTGTAGGCCTGTGATTTCCCCCAATCAGATACCACAGTATACAGAGTGTATATACATGGTTGCTGCCAGTGATGACATGAATAGCCATTTCACTTTATTCTCTTGGGCTAGCACTAGCTCCTCCTAAATTGAAGACTTTCAGTAATTTGAAGAAAATTATAAGAAAGTGAACAGATTGTTCAGACTGAATATCAGAGAAAATCTGTTTCTTTTGTATCAATTAATCTTTTGGGCCGTTCAACTCCTCATGTCACAGACTTCTCTTTGCCCTTTGCATCATTGTGTCCTTGTTCAACTGCCCTGTGTGCCTTTAATTGCCCCTTGTGGACAAATAAAGGTTTTTTGAATTGATTTGAATTGAATTGAATTCTATCTGCCTATCCTGGTCAGAATTGTGGTGTATTCCTATTAACCCAAGGCCCAATTCTTTAATAATAGTGCATATATAATGAGTATTACAGCAAAACAAAACTAGTTGTGTTTTATGTTTTTTTTTCCAAGTCAGTCTGTAATATCTGTGTATATTGCAAATTAATACCCGAATGGGAATTAGAGTAGATAAGGCAGATTCCACGAAGTAGTCTTGACAGAAATGCATAGACTGTGCACCTGTATGTTCTGATAAACTCTCTCAGAGTTACTTTCGCTTAGTCTGTGTTCCATCCAAGTTGGAGTACAATGCAGGGCATCTGGGATCAGTTGTGATGGTTTTGCAGATAGAATCTGGTCTTCCCTTGAAGTGGACACTCAGAAGATGTTTAAAGAGTTTATTTGTACTAAAACAGTTTATGTTTAATCTGTTTTTGTCTTATTTCTACTGTGGCAAATACATGGAGTTGAGACACTTAGTCCATTTTGTCTGCTTTGACTGAGGTAAGCCAGCAAAAACTGGCACCGACTCGAAGGTGACGTAATTTAATCAAAATATCATCTGATTGGTCCAGCGGATTATTTATACAACCAATTAAATCCCAAAGCTCTTTACTGCTTTTGCCCCTCAATGATTGAAGCAGACTGCGCATAGTTTTGAACTGCAATGGATGAGGTTACTAAAACGCACTTAGAGAGGAAACAAATAGCGCTGCCTTAGCTATAAATCATTAGTTATTTCAGACTAATTAAGATGATTGGAACCACATTTTTGCGATTTGTCTGTTTCAATTATGTTGCCATAAGGTTATTTTAAATCGCATCTCGTTTCAAATACCAAATCAGTTCCCGTAAAAGGCCATTAGGCGGCTCGTTCTTGCGGTGAGGCCTGACGGCATTAGTTCAGCCAAACAGCAGTCTGTCCGTACTGCTGAAATATGGGTATTGTTCATCTCCAGTGGTGGGGGCTATGTGGTTTACATTGGGCGACTCCCGTTTAGTATTCTGAGGGTACATCACCGGTCCACGCAGCCGTCACACAGGTCCCCAAATCGGCACCTGTTCACTCCAAGGGGCCGTGGATAATTGGGCGACGTGGCGATGTGTCCCCATGGGGATTTTGTTAGCAACCTGAATCTTGCCTTTCTGTACACACTCTCTGGCTGTCTAGAAGAGGTAGAACTGTGCTGGTTTTCATAGGGGGAGGGGGCTTGAGTGTTGCAGGCCAACAAAACTAATAACATTTAGAAATATTAGCTACTGCAAATGCTTCGTACTATTTATACGCATTATTTTATTCAGTTATAAAATAAGTGAAATTATCAAAATCAATCAAGGGCATTCCTGCCGTCTTTATTGTAGATATTTGAAAGTGGTTTTGGCGCCATCTTCTGGTAGGCCTATGTCGGGTATCTAAATCATTATTAAGATTTCACTAAAATAGCCCTAAATTAAAACGTTTTTTTTTCTGGATATTTAAATATATACCGTTATCTGGATTTCATTACTTCAAAAGAAAGGTTTGAAATTGAAAAGAATGCTCCTTTTGGGGTATCTTAGGTCTAAAATAAAAATACACTCTATAATTACGGTGGATTCTATTGCAGTGAATAGGGGGAAATTGATTCCAGGGCAGCAAATATTAAATGGAAAACTAATTTTAGCACCATTATCTTTTATCATTAATACCATTACACCACATCTTCTAAAACTGATTATGCAAATACGTACTTTTTAAATCGAGAATACCATTAGGCCAGAGACAAAGTGGCAAAATCATAAAATATATGTTTTGTTAGCGTTGTTATACAAAGTTTTAGCAATTTTAATTTATGACTAGCGAGAACAACTCAATTGCTAATAAAGGTTACCTGTAGAGAAATGGAGAGGACTATTTCACACGAGCTTGCACACCATATTAACTGCGTATTAATGACTTTATTGGTCAGTCATTTTAAATGCTTTCATGAAAAAAGTATCTTGTGATTTATTATAGGCCTGCCTATCATTAAAAATTCGAAATATCATGCTGACACTTAAATGTATCCATATACACAACGTGTTACACAATAACAGTCATAATCAATATTGAACTATATTAATATTTTCTGAATAAATTACGGTGAGCATTTAAATTTAGTCTATCGGGAGTAACGCTGAAACTAAGGGCCTGCATCAGATTTTGAGGTTTATATGTTAAAACTAGTCATTTTAGACAAGGGTGGGTTCCTCAATGGTGAAAATGTAAATCTATTTCTTCGTGAGGTAGGAACCAAATGTGAAATAATGCGTTTCGCCTTCAGTATAAATCCTATGGTTGTTCCTCAGGTATTGTGCTATTAAACCCCCGATACAGTATATTGTGAAATACAGTACAGCTTTATTTTTACCACAATCACACAGACAGACAGTAAAGTTGTCTGGGTCCGTAGAAGGTAAACTGTCCTCTAGGCACAAGTTTCGACATAACGCTGAGGTGGAGTTTACTTAAATTTAACCCCGTCCTCACAGGCTCATTATACCATCCTAGAATAACATTACCTCATCTGACATGTACCCACATGGAATCGAGGATGCGTCCTGCATTTTGAGGTTCTTGTTTAAAGCCTATTTCAGGATTTAGGATTGATTTTATATGGCTTAAATTTGTAATAATGAATGATGTCAGAGTTTGTATGGTAAACATTGTCACTATCTCGTCATCCATTCAAAGTCTTACACCTATAGACAAACATTCTGGCTCGGTGCCACTTTACGATAAGGCTACCCATATAAAGAGTTTATGAATGGTTTATAATCTCGTTATTAATTAGGTTGTAACACCTTATAAATTGTTAATACACAATTAAAAAAAAACTATAACAGTTTTCTTTTTTTAATGAGTTACTACCATTACAAGTGACAAAGGGGAGCCTTATTGTAAAGTGGTGCCACTGGCTCTAATTACTGGTTTCCAGCATGGCGTTCACTTGATGGGTATGTCTGCTGCGTCGCAGGTTATCAGACGCTTTTCTTAAGCTCCTAAGCGCCTCATTCTAATGACAGCTGTGCCACTCTCTCGGCGGTGACAAGTTGGGACGAGCACAGACCAAAACGACAGCGATCCCTGGCGTCATTCCCGGCCGTAGAAAAGGGGCAGTCAGAAGTCAGGGAGGAGGCCTTGCAGTTCTTCCACATCATATATTCACGCCAAAACGGCACGCAGTGAACCACACGGGGCTCTGCTCACAAAACGGGTGGAGGCAGACGTCGACCTGCGAAATATAATTGCCGGCTTGAATCACTCCTAGAGGGCACGTCAGACTGCATTTGTCCAGGACCGAACGGTGTGCATGCGGCATGAAGCTCACCGGCTTTAGTCTGGATACTTTTATTTACATTTCATTTATCATATTCATTTATTCAAAGTGCC